AGAGAGAAAGATAGAAAACAATAGATATTGAAAACACAGATTACTCTATGGCAGTAAATCCTACCGACAAATTGTCACTCTAAACACACCAGCTGACTTTGGCGTATCTAAACTCCTATATTTTGTCGAATCTCATGAAAGGAGAAACTTAAATCAATCCGATTCGCCAAGACACTTAAAAAAAAAAAAGAAAAAAAGATAATGAAATAATAAAAATCAAGATAAATATTGTATAACACTTTTACAAGCTTACGCATACACAAGTATTAAAAGTCAGCTGACTAGAATGGAAAAGAGAAGTTGACTCGGAGTGCTCCAGAGTCTAGGGTGAGTTGCCACTTTCTTTTCTGAAATCAGAAGCACTATAAATTCCTTCTGTAACGCTTCAAAAAGCCACATCATTGATAATCGCAATGACAACCCGACATGTTAATATATTCACAGAATTCCAGCGTAAACCCGATTCCTTGCAGTATTATACAATTTATCATAATCTTATATCGTGAATGCGCTATTGACGTATTTATTATTACTTTTTCTTTGTATTATTTGTATCTGTGGTGTTATCAGTTTTGTTGCAATACTCAGACTTACAAGGTAAACATTACGATTTCAAATAACCACACATTTTACTATACTCCAATCACAAAAAAGCAGGCAACTGGCAACGGAACCCAAAGTTTGGGGCACTTCAATTCGCCAAATCTTTGATAAGAATACAAAAAAAGTGTTTTAGAAACTATAAAATGTTAATAAAAAATAACGTTTATATATACATACAAACATACACACACGCAAACATAGAGTCTTGGCAAATAGTAGTCTAGTCTGTGTGAGTTACCATTTTCTTTTTTTGCCGAGGCTGTATGCACTAGAATCTCTCTCTCTCTCTCTCTCTCTCTCTCTCTCTCTCTCTCTCTCTCTCTCTCTCTCTCTCTCTCTCTCTCTCTCTCTCTCTCTCTCTCTCTCTCTCTCTCTCTCCTCTCTTCTCTCCTCTCTCTCCTCTCTCTCTCTCTCCTCTCTCTCTCTCTCTCTCTCTCTCTCTCTCTCTCCTCTCCTCTCTCCTCTCTCCTCTCTTCTCTCTCTCTCTCTCTCTCTCTCTCTCTCTCTCTCTCTCTCTCTCTCTCTCTCTCTCTCTCTCTCTCTCTCTCTCAGCCTCCCAAATGATACTAATCCTCTGCTTAATCAGGCCACACTAGCGGTTCCAACAGGACGACGGACTCGATGTGTTCACGTCTTCCCAGTGGGCCATCGATCGAGACGCAGCGCTCCATTGGCCAAGTCCTGGGGTGCCGGACAACACGTGAGTGCCTGGGACATGACTGACTTTTTAACATATATATATATATATGTATATATATATATATATATATATATATATAATATATATTGTGTGTTGTGTGTGTGTGTGTGTGTGTGTGTGTGTGTGTGTGTTGTGTGTGTGTGTGTGTGTGTGTGTGTGTGTGTGTTTTTTTGCTATGCACGTGTTGCTCTTTCTTGCTGTCGATAGATTTCTAGTTTTTGTCAATCGTTGAATTTCACTTGGTTTATCATTTATCTATTTGTATTGATTTGATTTATTTCACATTTTCCATTGCTTTTATATAAACACGTTATTAAATTACTATTACCTATTCTTATTTACCCAAAATTATTGTTATTCAGTTAATTATCACTCGTTTAGTAAGTAATCTTTCACTTCTTATCACTCACTTCGTCGTTCTTATTCATAGGTAGATTTAAGTTGCAGTTATCACTCATTTGTTATTTAGTTATTTGTTGTTATTTGTTATTTAGACTCATTTAGACGTTATCCTCCCTTTCCCACCTCTTCGCCCCCGCGTTCGATTCGCAGCGTGAACGTGAGTGTGAAGCGTATTGGCGGCGGCTTCGGCGGGAAGATCACGCGCGGGAACATCATCGCAGCGGCCACGTGTCTCGCCGCCAGGAAGATGCGCAAGCCTGTGAGGACCGTGCTGGATATGGCCACCTGCATGACCATGCTCGGGGGGCGGGACCCCTTCTGGAGCACGTACAAGGTCAGTTTTTTCGTTTATTTTTGCTGTCGGTTCTTTCATTTTGGTACATTTCTCTTTCTTGCTCTCTCTCTCTCTCTCTCTCTCTCTCTCTCTCTCTCTCTCTCTCTCTCTCTCTCTCTCTCTCTCTCTCTCTCTCTCTCTCTCTCTCTCTCTCTCTCTTCTCTCTCTCTCTCTCTCTCTCTCTCTTCTCTCTCTCTCTCTCTCTCTCTCTCTCTCTCTCTCTTCTCTCTCTCTCTCTCTCTTTCTCTCTCTCCGCAACTGCCACATTAGTGCATTGGATAGCCACAGATGGCGTTGAGTGTAAGGAACGATCACATACCAGAATATACAACTTTCTGCTTGTTCATGTCGTCGTCGAATCGCAGAAATATTTGATGTAAATTTGAGGCGCCCCTTAGACATAGCTGTCCTGTAAAAAAAAAAAAAACAGTGCCTGTACATGGATTCTATACATCTTCCACTCAGAAAAAACAACAATGAATAGATAGGTAAATGAATAATTAAGGAAATCAATGAACAATTAAGATTGATCAATAAATCTTATGATAAAGAAACTTAATGCTCTATCGGTATTTTTTTTTTTTATCTCAGGTCGGTGTCGATGCTGAGGGAAGGCTACAGGCTGTGCAGGCTACGATGACGAGCAATGCAGGCTACGTGAATGTCGACCCTAACAACACCGTCTCCCCCCCGTCTGTGCCCTCCTGCTACAACTGTCCGAACTGGGAAATTACACCTGTCACCGTGCTCACTAATACGCCCAATAACACCTGGACTCGTACACCAGGTGGGGAAAAAGCATGGGTTTTTTGTTGCTGTTTTGTCATGATTTTATTTATTTATTTATTTTTTCTTTTTCTTTTTTTTTGGGTTTGATTTTATTTATTTATTTATTCATTCATTTTTCATTTTCTTATTTCTAGGGTTTGGTGTCTTGATGCAACGGTAGATGTGGATATATTTATCTCTGTTGTGATTTAGTTGTGTTTTGTAGCTGGAAGAATGATGTCTTCATTATCTTCATTTTATAATAAAAACGGTTAGATTTGTAAATTATGAGTAGAATATGAATCACTAATATGACCCTAAACTAAACACACGCACGCACACGCTCACGCACACGCACACGCACACGCACACCACACGCACACGCACACACACACACACACACACACACACACACACACACACACAACACACACACACACACACACACACACACACACACACACACACACACACACACACACACACACACACACACACATATAAACACACACACACGCACACACACGCACACACCACTCAAGATATACGAGCAGAGATAACCCTGCCTGCTCTTTGAAGGAACCACCGAAGGCGTTACCCTGATGGAGACGATCATCGAGCACGTGGCCGTCGCTCTTAATCTGGACCCTCTCCTGGTACGCCAGAGGAACCTCATGTCGGATGGCTCATTCAGACGTATTAGCGAGGGAGTTTTTCGCCTTCGCTGCGGCAGGGGTGGACAAAGTAAGTAAGACAAAGTTATACTCGGTTGTACGATAAGAGGAGCCACAAGGAAAAGAGAAGAGGGAGAGAGAGAGAGAGAGAGAGAGAGAGAGAGAGAGAGAGAGAGAGAGAGAGAGAGAGAGAGAGAGAGAGAGAGAGAGAGAGAGAGAGAGAGAGAGAGAAGAGAGATAAAGAGATAGATAGAGAGAGAAGAGAGATATAGATAAATATAGTTAGATAGATAGAGAGGGAGGGGTTCTAGTGCATATAGCCTCGGGGAAAAAAAGAAAATAGTAACTAACTAATGGAAGACACACGTAGAGGCATACACAGGGTCACGGACGGTTTGTTTAAATTGTGCGAGGCCCGACCCAGTGAATATTCATTTATACGGGCTTGCATATACCCAAAATAAAATGTATATTAGTCTATCTGTCTGATAGATATACACTTATCCATCTATAGTCGGGAGATATGCATGTCTAGACTGACAGATGTATATATTTCTGTATATATGTACGTCTGTATAATGAATATGGTTTAACAGTCCGGCCCTCATACCGACATTATTTCAACGCAACACGCATTTGCAAAGGAAATCGCCAAATTTAACGGGATCCCTTCGATCCACAGACGCCATCGCCATACCCAAGCAGGTCAAGGTGGAAAGGAACATCATTGGCGACATGCTGACCCAGCTGATGTCCAGCGCCGACGTCGAGAACCGAAAACAGATGGTCGACAACTTCAACAAGGTCAGTCGCGTCCATCTCCATCTCGGAAATGAAAACTCCTCTATTTTTCGTCGCGATACAATCTAGATAACTATAGCATGGTGGCTTATACACACAAACGAACAGAAAACCCTAATAAAGGAAAAAATATATGTATATATATTTCGTACGAACACGGATACGAAAATCCTTTTTTGGCAGAATCACCTGTGGAAGAAGAAGGGAATTTCGGTGATGACGATGCTGTGGCCTCACGTGATCCCTCTCGTCTATCCCATGAACTCCCTGGTGTCCATCAACCAAAGGGATGGCACTGTGGCCGTGTCTCATGGGGGCACGGAGCTCGGGCAGGGCATGAACACGAAGGTATGAGGTTTTTCGTAGAGAATTTCCTTTTTTTACTTGTATTATCTTTTTATTTTTATTCTTTCATGGAGTAATGAAAACGACTTGTTTTTTTTTGCGAAAGTTTTGAGGGGATGTTATTCACTTCCTTTTTTTTATTAAAAAAAAAAAAAAGGTCCGAGACTCAACGAGAAGAAGGAAAGGAATCTTTTTCCACATGGACATTCCCTTTCAGAAGTGTAGACAGGGCGAAATAACAAAAAATAAATGGAAAAAAATGTCACGATATTAAACCGATTATTAAGAGCTGTATCCAGTCCGACTTGAAACCCGCATTTTTCTCTCCCCGTCTCCTTCCTCTTCTCTCCTTCTCCTTTCTTCCTCGTCCTCTTCCTTTCCTCTCTCTCTTTTTTCCTTTGTCTTTCCTTCCCCATTCCTCTCCCTCTCCCTCTCTCTGCCCTCTCCTTCTCCATCCCTCCCTCTCCCTCTCTCTGCCCTCTCCTCTCCATCCCTCCCTCTCCTCCCTCCCTCCTTCCCTCACTCCCTCCCTCTCCTTCTCCCTCCCTCCTCCTCCCTCTCCCTCATCCCTCCCTCTCCTCCAGGCGGTGCAAAGTGGTCGCCTACGAGCTCGGGTGCCCCATGGAGGTCGTGGTGGTCAAGCCGACAACCTCGCATGCCAACGCCAACTCGGAGGGCACGAACGGCGCTCGCGGGTCCTACGTCATAGCCTACGTAAGGGTCGTCGGGGAAAGAGAGGCTGTTGCTGGTGCCGTCGTTGTTGGGTCTTGCTGTTGCTGTTTTAGATTGTTTTTTGTTGTTGTTATTTTGTTTATTTTGTTTTATTATTGTTGTTGTTGGTTGGTTTTTGGTATTGTTACTATTGTTATTGTTATTGTTGTTATTATTGTCATTATTATTATCAGTATCATGATAATGATGATAGTAATAATAATAATAATAATAATAATGATAATAATAATAATAAAAATAATGATAATGACACTTATTATCATTATCGTTATTATGAGTATTATTGTCGATTATTGATGATTACAATGATAATAATGATAATAGTGATAATGATGAAAATGATAATATGATAATGATGAAAATGATAATAGTAATCATGAAATCATTATCATCATTATTATATCATTATCATTAATGTTATTCCTATTATCATTATTATTATTAATATCATTATTGTTATTTTATTCATTACTGTTCTTTTGTTTTTATCATCAATATTGTAGTCTTGATAAAAATAATAATAATAATAATGATGATAATAACAATATTACAAATGACGATGGTAAAACAATAATAATGATAATAATTATGATAATGATAATGTTGATGATGATATGATAATAATCGTAATATTAATAATAATGATAATGATAAAATATTGATGGTAATAATTATGATTATAATGTTATATTCATAATAATAGTAATGATAACTATTATTATGATAATAATGATGATAGTGATAACGATAATGAAAACGATTATAATGATAAGGAAGACAGCACAAATAATACTAATACTAATAATAATGATAATAATGATAATAATAGTAATAATGATAATAATAGTGATCATAAAATATTGATGGTAATGATTATGATTATAATAGTAGTAGTAATGATAACTATTATTATGATAGTAATGATAGTAATGATAATGAAAACGATTATAATTATAAGGAAGATACTACTACTACTACTAATGATAATGATAATAATAATAATGATAATAGTAATGATAATAATAATAATGATAATAATAATAATGATAATAATAATAATAATAATGATAATGATAATAATAATAATAATAATAATAATAATAATAATAATAATAATAATAATGATGATGATGATAATAATAATGGCGAAAACCTAACGAAACTACCGCAAACCAATGGCAACCCCGCAAAGGCCTCCTACAGCAGCCTCTCCCACAGAGCGTGAGCGAGGCCTGCAAGAAGCTGCGGGCGCGACTGGACACCGTGAAGAAGTCCCTGGGCGTCGAGGACATATCGTGGAAGGACCTGGTCGCGGCGGCGGCGAGCGAGGGCGTCGACATAAGCGAGAGATATTGGTGGGTGGGCGTGTTTGGGGAGAGGGTGTTATAGATTGTTTGATATATGTGAAAAAAATTTGTTTATGTTTTTTTTTTTTTACATACGCACACGCACGTACGCATGCACGTACACGTACGGAACATGCAGACGCACACGAACACGCACGCACACACGCACACGCACACGCACACACACACACACACACACACACACACACACACACACACACACACACACACACACACACACACACACACACACACACACACACACACACCACACACACACACACACACACACACACACACACACACACACACACACACACACACACACACACACACACACCACACACACACACACACACACACACACACACACACACACACACACACACACACACACACACACACACACACACACACACACACACACACACACACACACACACACACACACACACACACACACACACACACACACACACACACACACACACACACACACACACACACACACACACACACACACACACACACACACACACACACACACACACACACACACGCACACACACACACACACACACACACACACACACACACACACACACACACACACACACACACACACACACACACACACACACACACACACACACATACACACACACACGCGCGCGCGCGCGCGTGCGCGACAAAGAAATAGTAACCCAGAACATTTCTCATTCAAAACACATTGTCAGAATTCGTCCCTGAAAACAGAAAATTCAAAGATATCCCTTCAAAGTACATTATTATTATCAATTATATATATTTTTTTAATATCAAAGCTCGGAATAAAACCAAAACTATTCCCCAAAAAAGGCATTCGAACAACATTCAGTCACAGCGAATAGAATATTTAGTCAAAATGAATCATAATGATGAAACATTCTTAAAATACTTAGGGATGAAATAAAAACAGACGCCAAACGACAAACAAACCAAGTTACAAACAAACCCATAAATACAAACAACCAAGCAACAAACGACCCAAACGCCAAACACATCAAAAGTACAAACAATCAAACGACAAACAAACCAAACGACAAACAAAAAAAACAAAAGACAAAGAAATAAAAAAAAGAAAAAAACATTTCTCGTCATCTAAACCCTAAAATAATAAATAATAATAATAATAATGATAATGATGATAATGATAATGATAATAATAATAATGATGATAATGATAATAATAATGATCATAATAATAATAATATTGATAATGATAATAATAATAATAATTTCAGTAACGGGCCCAATGAAGTCAAGTCTTACCCGGTGTTTGGAGTGTGCTGTGTCGAGGTCGAGCTGGACGTCCTCACTGGCCAGTTCTTGGTAAGTAGTCGAAGTGGGACTCGATGCGTTTTGTGTTTTCTTTTGTGTGATGTGGATGTTTGTGTTCGTTTTTTTATGTGTGTGTGTGTGTGTGTGTGTGCGTGTGCGTGTGCGTGTGCGTGAGGGGAGGGGGGTATGTTTGATTTTATTTTTGTCTCTCGCAGCTTGTCTCTTTGTTTCTGTTTGTGTGTGTCTTTTCTGTTTGTTCTGACTGTCAGTCTCTCTCTCTGTCTGTCTCTCTCTCTCTCTCTCTCTCTCTCTCTCTCTCTCTCTCTCTCTCTCTCTCTCTCTCTCTCTCTCTCTCTCTCTCTCTCTCTCTCTCTCTCTCTCACATTTTTGTTTTCAAGCAAATTTTTACCCCCCTCAAAACAAACAAACGAAATATATCTCACATTAACATCCAGATCCTACCAACATATATGATAAAAAACAAAGTATCCACTCTTTCTTACTAATCCCCCCCCCCATCCTCTTCCCTCCTCCCATACCCAGGTCCTCCGCGCGGATATCCTACAGGACGCAGGCACGAGCATGAGTCCCATGGTCGACGTGGCCCAAGTGGAGGGCGGGTTCGTCATGGGCCAGGGTCTCTTCACGTCGGAGAAGGCCATCTACGACCCCGCCACTGGGAGGAGAATCACGGACGGGACATGGGTGAGAGGGGGAAGGGAAGGAAGGGAAGGGAAGGGAGGAGGGAGGGAGGGAGAAAGGGAGAGAGGGAGGGGGAGGGATGGAAAGGAGGGAGGGAGGGAAGGGAGAGGGAGAAGGGAGAAAGGGAAAGTAGGAGGAAGGAGGAAAGGAGAAGAAAAGAGAGACGGGAAGGAGAGGGGAGAAAGGGAGGGATGGGAAGAGAGAAGGGAAGGGGAAGGGAGGAGGGAGGGAGGAAGGGAAGGGAGAGGGAGGAATGAAGGGGGGGAAGGGAGGAGAGGGAGGGAATGAAGGGAGGGAAGGAAGGAAGGAAAGAAGGAGGGTAGAATAGAGGAAAGTCAAGGGGATAAAAAAAGATACATTATTTCCTTGTCCGAAAAGAATACCATTACTTAGCAGCGTATTATCACCCAAATCACTAAAATTAAACCCCTAAAAATCACACACCTTATCATGCCCACAGCACTACCAGGTCCCCACCGCCCACGACGTCCCAGCTGACTTCCGGGTGTCCCTTCTGTCCAGCACGCCCCACCCCATCGGCGTCCTCGACTCGAAGGGTGAGTCCTGATGGGTCCTAAACCTCCTGCGCGTCCTAGTGTTGGAATCCTAAATATTATATTCAATCTACTATTTAAAAACATGTAAAGAGTTTTAATAACTTAGAAAAAAAATCATTTACGTACTTCATATACTGCATAACGTTTTTTTTTTAATGCCAGTGAAGAAAATATCCTTATTGGCTAATTCTTTAGATTTTTGTGTGAATTTGGAAAACATGCATATAATGATTAAGGTAAATGTATAACTAAACTGATTTTGAGTTATCTAATGAAGTGTTCTACCTTCGATGAAATTTGTGATATACACACGAGCAAAATCTCATTGAAATCGGAGGAAATTACCAAACTGTAAATTCCTGTAACATCATCACCATCAGTGTGATCATCTCCATCACACCATCTTCACCACCACTTCTGCTCTCACTTATACCTCAGCAATCATCATCGCTATCATCATGCCTCACCATCATTTTCTTTCTTTCTTTCTTTCTCTCTCTCTATCTCTCCTCTCTCTCTCTGTCTCTCTCTCTCTCTCTCTGTCTGTCTGTCTGTCTGTCTGTCTCTGTCTGTCTGTCTGTCTGTCTGTCTCTCTCTCTCTCTCTCTCTCTCTCTCTCTCTCTCTCTCTCTCTCTCTCTCTCTCTCTCTCTCTCTCTCTCTCTCTCTCTCTCTCTCTCTCTCTCTCTCTCTCTCTCTCTCTCTCTCTCTCTCTCTC